TGAAAGTGAATAGAAAGCTTTTCCTCGCCTTCAAGTGCTTTGCATAAGTAAAGGTTGTTAATTAAAGATAACTCTACCCAGCCACCTTCCTTCTTTAAAAGAACTCAAAATTAGACAGTGTTCTTAGTTTGTGCTTTCACTTCTCAAACCTACAACCATTAACAAAATATCTTTAAAGGACTGTTCAAATGACCATCCTCTTATGGTGAAATTAGAGACATTGACTTCTGGCGGGCAGAGTCTCATAGTTTAATCTTATTACTCCTTAGATTCCTTACTTAAGAAAATAGAGAAACTGGGTAATTTTCACTATTGGAGGGAAATAAAGAGATGAGAGAAATAGGATCCAGGTACTTTAAAGACCTCGTATCAATGTCCTTTTTCAACAAATAAGTGATAACTCACCATTATTCGTCAAACATAACCTCACAAATGACTTGGCAAAATTTATGTATGGAGAGTTTGTTGTTTGTTTAAATGATGGTGATTCTTGAAAGTTTCTAGAAAGACTCGTCACTTCTTGTATGTAAGAACTAGATCTGAAGATTGAGACAATCTTGTAGGCCTTGAAGAAGTACAAAATTTGGGTATAATTTGTTAATATGAAAGTTGGTTTTGGCAAACATGAATGATGAGGAAATCACTAACTTTCTAAGAATCTTCCAGCATCTTCATGTATTATCTTTGCTCTATGTAGGTCAGCTGCCTACCTGGATTGGCACCTTGAAACAACTATGGTATGTAAACATCTCAGAATCATCGAACCACATGTTGTCTGAAACTATATGTACCTTGCACAACTTGCGAGTACTAATCTTTCATTGGTGCAAGAATCTTGTTGAGTTGTCAACCAACCTGATGAATCTAACAAACTTGTATCATCTCGATATTGAAGGCACAAGACTGCAACGGATGATGCGTCAAATAGGTAAATTATCTAAATTTCAAACTTTGACTGTTTTTTTTATGGGTAAACCAAATGGATCCAGCATAAAGGAGATATGACAGCTCAAATGCCTAGAGGGAAAACTTCATACTTGGATGCTTTAAAATGTTGTCAATGCTCAAGACTCTTTACGAGCTAATTTGGAAGGCATCAAGGACCTCGAAAAGTTAGATTTTAGATGGAGCAATGATTCATATTGTTCTCTTGATGAACGCGTGTTTCATCAACTAAAGCTTAATGTGAATGTGCATTGTCTTGTAATTGTTAGTTATCGGGGTTCAAGATTCCCTTTTTAGTGGATCTAAGGCTTAGTGAATGCCAATGTTCCTTCCTACCACCACTCTGTCATTTAGCATATCTAAAAAGACTTATGATCCAAGCATTCGACAAAGTCAAGAGTATAGGTTGTGAGTTTTATGGAAATTGCATTTCTAAAATCATTGCATTCAAATCACTCGAGAGCTTGACTTTTGAGAGGATGCCATAATGGTATGACTAATTTTGTAATGTTGCTAAAAGTGAATAGAAAGCTTTTCCTCGCCTCCAAGTGCTTTGCATAAGTCAATATTGTAAATTAAAGAAAACCCTACCCAGCCACCTTCCTTCTTTAAAAGAACTCACAATTACAAAATGTTCACAGTTTGTGCTTTCGCTCCCGAGACCTCTAACCATTAACAAAATCTCTTTAAAGGACTCTTCAAATGACCATCCTCATATGGTGATATTAGAGACATTGACTTCTGCCGGTACAGTCTCATAGTTCAATCGTGTTACTCCTTAGATTCCTTACTGAAGGAAATGAAAAAACTGGGTTATTTTCACCATCAGAGGGAAATAAAGAGATCAAAGAAATAGGATACAGGTACTTTAAAGATCTCGTATCAATGTCCTTTTTTCAACAGATAAGTGAACTCACCATTATTCGTCAAGCTTAACCTCACAAATGACTTGGCAAAATTTATGTATGGAGAGTTTGTTGTTTGTTTAGATGATGGTGATTCTTGGAAGGTTTCTAAGAAGACTCGTCACTTGTTGTATGCAAGAACTAAATCTGAAGATCGAGACAATCTTGTAGGCCTTGATGAAATACAAAATTTGCATATAATTTTGTTAATATCAAAGTTAGTTTTGGCAAACATGAATGATGAGGAAATCACTAACTTTTTGAGAAGATTCTAGCATCTTTGTATATTATCTTTGCTCCATGTAAGTAAGTTGTCTACCTCAATTGACAGCTTGAAACAACTATAGTATGTAAACCTCTCATAATCATCAGAACACATGTTGTCTGAAATTGTATATACTTTGCACTACTTGCGGATACTAATCTTGCATTGGTGTAAGAATCTTGTTGAGTTGCCAACCAACCTGATGAATCTAACAAACTTGTATCATCTCAATATTAAAAGCACAAGACTGCAATGGATGACGCGTCAAATGGGTAAATTACCTAAACTTCAAACTTTGACTGATTTTTTTATGGGTAAACAAAATGGATTTAGCATAAAGGAGATATGAGAGCTCAAATGCCTAGAGGAAAAACTTTGTCCTTGGATGCTTTAAAATATTGTCAATGCCCAAGACTTTTTACGAGCTAATTTGGAAGGCATTAGGGATCTCAGAAAGTTAGATTTCAGATAGAACAATAATTCATATGGTTCTCTTGATAAACGTCTGCTTCATCAACTAAAACCTAATATAAATATGCATTGTCTTGTAATTATTGGTTATAGGAGTTCAAGATTCCCTTCTTGGTTAATAAACTTATTTTTAGTGGATCTGAGGCTTAGTGTATATTATGTATGGTGTTTTTTTAAAAGTGTTTTTAGTTTTAAAAAATTAAATTAGTATTCTTTAATTTTTTTTATTTTTTTATTTTTTGATGTGAAAGATAAAAATTTGTTTTAATATATTTTCAAATGAAAAATTATTTTGAAAAGCATTTTATTTTTGCAAAAAGAAAAAAAATCTATGAAAAAAAAAAAGAAAAAAAAAATCTATGTCGATGTTCGATGCTCAAGTCTCCCGTTTTGCTCCTGTTCTTCAGCTGAGAGGGACTCGGATGTCTCTAAAAGAGCAGCTTTGTCCAGCCACCTGTGTACACCACCTCAGAAGATCAGATCAGAAAAGAAAAGAAAAGAAAGAGAGCAGAGGAGATATAGGGAAATAAAAAGTGATAGTACTGTCACTACTTGGACCTTGGGGAAGGGCCTGGTTTGCAACTACAAGGCTTACACATGCAATTCTAAGTTGGACTTGTTGTCCCCCCTACCCAAAGGGAAATCATGGTGGCATATAGATCCATAAACACTTTATATATCTCATCCAAATTCCCATAACCCATTGAAATGGGCTACGGGAATCACAATACTACACCAACCTGATTATTCCAATGTCGGGCAATAGAAGCAATCCACCACTATCATTTATATAGTAGTCATTGGGTTCACGAGCGTGTTGCAGGTGACGCTTCACAAAAGCTGCCTTAAGAACTCTATGAATAACGATAAGGGGGCTTCCAGTTGGTTTGTCGGGGTAGTAAGAAAATAACGAAAAGAGGGCTTCCAGTTGGTTTGTCGGAGTAGTAAAAGCTTTTTCCTAACGCAAAGGTTAAACCAGCCAATGCCATAACCGAAAATGAAATTGCAGAAGTCATCATTCTCTGATGACTATCAGAACCTCTGGCCATTATCACCACTATCACAGACGAGACAGTGCCCACCGTAGAAGCAAAACGCCACCAAAATTTTCTTCGAACCTCAGCTTTGTCATAATTTATACTGATGTCTGGTTTACTAGGAACCTCGTCAGCTTGGTCCTTATCTGCGCTAAGGTTAGGTTTATGCTCGACTAATTGATCACGTAGAAATGCTTTTAAACAAGGATCCTGACTTGCCCTGCCCACAGTTGCTAGTACCTTCATCAGATGAAGTAGTATAATCACGGTGGAGGATGAATTGCCCCAGAACCGGTTAGCAAGAAACCATAGCAACAGTCCCTGCAGCAAAATGGGCATTTAATTAGTTGCAAATTAATGACTATAAATTAAAGCACTAAAAAATCGATCGAAAAGAATAGGAATATTAAAAAAAAAATTAGTTATAGCTGTTTTCATTTGAAAACCAAACAAATAAAAGCTAATTTATATACTATTCGCCTAAATTTGTCATGTAATTGCTAGTGTTGACGGAGAATATCAACTTTTTAGCATTTACAAGAATTTTTTAAGCTGGAAACTCAAATAATATATGAACTCAATAACTCCTCTTTTTTTTTTTGATAATATGAACTCAATAACTTATGTAAA